ATGACTGGTCATCTTAGTCCATGACTGGTCATCTTAGTCCAAGACTGGTCATCTTAGTCCAAGACTGGTCATCTTAGTCCAAGACTGGTCATCTTAGTCCATGACTGGTCATCTTAGCCCAGTACTGGTCATCTAAGTCCAAGACTGATCATCTTAGTCCATGACCGGTGGTCTTCTTAGCTTCTGGAGAAGCTTTTGTCTCCTCCCTCAATGCCGGGGCCACGATCGCTCCACCTTATCCCATGAACTGACCATGGATGGCATTTGTGGTGCTGTGCAGCCATCTAGAGTTGGAAAAAGAGAAATACACCCACCAGAGAAGCCTGATGAAGAGCAACGCCCACAGACCGGCTCCCAACTTTTCTAAATAAGATCCAGCGGCCCACAGGAGAATGAGGACATCACTGGGACGGAGAAGGACCAAACCCCAGCCTTCGTGAGAGACCCGGTAGGCCACCATGTGGGGTCAGAAAGGACGAAGTATCAAGAAGAACATTCAATAAACAAATCTGAAGACATTTATTAATTTTTTGTATGTAAACATTGTCTGACCTCCTGCTTTGAAGCAACTCTGAGATCACTATTATGCGGGAGACCATTTATGCAAGGTGAAGTGAGATTGAGACACGAAGCATTTACTGCACTGGGGATAGGATTCCGGTTTGACGACCACATGGAAGACCTGATCTCTAATGAGTTGGGATTTGTCCCAAAAGCCTTTCCCGCACTCGGCGCAGGTATATGGCTTCTTGCCAGTGTGAGGTATATGATGCCTGGTGAGATGCGACATCTGCGAAAAAACCTTTCCCACACTCAAGACAGGAATGGGGCTTCTCGCCCCTATGCAGCCTCTGATGTATGTTAAGACTTGATTTATTCTGGCAATTTTTTCCACACTCAGGACAGCGTATGTGTGAGATCTCTGATGTATAAGAAGTTCTGACTTCTGTGAAAAACTTTTCCCACACTCAGGGCACAAATGCGGCTTCTCCCCCGTGTGAGATCTCTGATGTCTGTCTAGGAAAAAGTTCCGTGTGTAACTAATGCCGCACTCAGAGCAGGAATACGGCCTCTCGTCCGTGTGACATTTTAGGTGTGTGGTAAGAGCCCACGTCTGTAAAAAACCTTTCCCACACTCAGACAAGAATATGGCCTCTCCCCTGTGTGAGATCTTTGGTGCCTGTGAGCACTTGAATTCCTGGCAAAACATTTTCCACACTGAGGGCAGGCATAAGGCTTCTCCCCTGTGTGAATTCTCTGATGTATGTCAAGATGGACCATTGTTCTAAAACTTTTCCCACACTCGGAGCAGGAGTATGGCTTCTCACTCACGTGCACACTTAGATGTTTGGATAGGTCAGACTTGTGTGAAAAGATTTTCCCGCACTCGGAACATGCATACAGTTCCTTGCCTGTGTGAAAACTTTGATGTATAATAAGTTCTGATTTCGTTTGATAACATTTTCCGCACTCAGGACAAGAATACGGCTTCCTGTCTGTGTGAGTTTTCTGGTGTCTTGTAAGATCTTGGACACATGCAAAACCTTTCCCACACTCGGAAAAGGAATACGGCTTCTCACTTTTGTGGTACCTCTGATGTCTAGAGAGATAGAACTTTACCGAGAAAGCTTTGCTGCACTGAGAGCACGAATAAGGCTTCTCCTCTGTGTGAGACTTCTGATGTCTAACAAGTACGTTTTTATGTGCAAAGCCTTTCCCACACACGAAGCAAAAATGCGGCTTCTCACCCGTGTGTAACATTTCGTGCTCTCTGAGAGTCGCCTTCCGCAGAAAGCCTTTCCCACACACAGAGCATGCATACGGCTTCTCCCCCGTGTGGGTTTTCTGATGTTGAATAAGTCCGTGTTTACGTGTATAACTTTTCCCACACGCGGGGCAATTAAACGGCTTCTCCGCCGTGTGTAACTTCTGATGCTCTCTGAGTGTCGCCTCTCGCAGAAAACTTTTCCCGCACTCTGAACAGGAATGGCGCCTTTTGTCCCCGTGAGATTTCTCGTGCACCGTCAGATCGTATTTACTGCCAAAACTTTTCCCACACTCCATACACAAATCTGGCTTTTCGAGAACACATTTCTCAGTGTGTGGCAACGATTGCATATTTGGGGTGCTTGGGTCTTCTCCTGGACAATGCCGTGTGATGTCCTCCTCTTCTGGAGGCAACGTGAGACGTTCCTCTGAGATCTTCCCGACGTCCCGTCCGTGGACTACAAATAGAAATGAGGAGATTATTGGAGGACATGAGCGGTTCACCTCAACCTGAAGAACATATTATGACCCACCTCTGCCGATCTCTGTAGGCGTGTCCTCCTCTATGGACGTCCTCATCATCCCGGCCTCCTCCGTATATCGCTGATCATCCCTCACATACGTCTCTTCTACTTCACCCTCAACTTTCATCTTCATCAGATCTTCACCCTAAACCAACAGAACGGCAGAAAGTCTCATCTGTGACATAGAAGTATTTATGATGTGACATCACATAGAAGATCTCATCTTGTAGAGTCCACACGTCATCTCCACATGTCAGAGCGTTCCATCACTTTATGTTCCCGCCCCTCAACTCCACCCACCTGATCATGGTGGGGGACGGTGAGATCCTCCTGGGTGGAGTCCCGGGAATAGAGGGGGCGGGGACATCTCTCTGGTGGGTCCATCATATCCTTGTGTCCTTCCGAAAGCTCCTCCATCACCCCGTACTCCTCATCCTCCTCCTTATACTCTTCTTTAACAATATTCTCCCCGAGGATTCCACTCTGAGTATATATTAATCATTTGTTATAACACACGCTTTTTATATAAATCATATTTATCAGAGATTGTCCATCATCTACCTGATCATGGTGGGGGAGGGTGAGATCTTCCTGGGTGGAGTCCCGGGAAGACAGGGGGCGTGGACATCTCTCTGGTGGGTTCCTCTTACTGGATCCATCTGTAGGAAACACACACACTGACTGAATACATTGTTTCTATGTGTGTATCAGATGATGGGGGATGTAGGCGGAGCCTCCGTACTGCTCTCTCCTCTTACCCGGTGATGTGAGGGGCGGGGCATTCTCCATCACCACGTCCTTGTAGAGATCCCGGTGTCCTTCTAGATACTCCCACTCCTCCATGGAGAGATAGACAGAGACATCCTGACACCTTATAGGAACCTGACACACACAATGATACCGTCACCACCCAGACACGCCCCTTGTCTGTTCCTGGATCATGTCCCAGAA